CTTCGACGCTCGTGGAGAGCTGCCACTGGAAATCCACCAAATCCTTATTAGACTCGAACCAGAAGATTCAGGCACCATTTACTGCCTTTCCATAGTGCCAGCGACTCCAAATTTCGGGGTTCAAATTCTGGGTTCCATTGCCCACTCTGGACTCAACGCCCAGTTTGACATTGGAGACAGGAAGATCCACTTCCAACGCCATCCTCGCCTCTGCTCTGAAATCTGAATCATCGATCAAGAATGTTCTAAGTTTGCTTTGCTATAAGATCTGATATGGGTTGATCTTCTCCTTCAATAACTTACGGTTTGCTGTTGACCGTTGTGTGTGTCTCGTGAGCTACTGCTAATTTTTAGTTTATATGTACTGTCACCCTTAGCTTGTGGTCGTATTCGAAAGGCATTCTAGCAGCGGACTTGCTGACCCTCTTCCCATCTCCTCACCGACTGAGAATATCAACTGAGCATGCACGGCCTAAGGGTTGGGAGCACCCAGATTGCACTGAGCTACGGGTCTTCAATAACTTTCTTCTGTGTGTCGTGTGAATTACCATGGAGCTATACTCGTTTTGGTGTTTGTGTCTTGTTTTAGAAAGTAATAAAAATTATGACATATATTTAAGTTTAGGGTTACAAATTTAAATTTATTAAAAAAATATATTCCATAATATAAACGTAATTTAACCTAGAGTTTTTTATGACATATATTTAAGTCTAGGGTTACAAATTTAAATTTATTAAAAAAATATATTCCATAATATAAACGTAATTTAACATATTTTGAAAAAAAAAACTCAATTAGACATAAAAGTTAAAATTACTTATTTTAAATGAAAACAAAAACTTTTTTTAAAAAACTTATTTAACTATCTTTGTTTTCAATGTCCCAAATTTTTTAGTTACAAACCCTTCATTTCAATTTTCCTTTTGTAAATTGAAAAGTTAAAGCATGGTCAGAACATTATTTTAATACTTAAACAAAAACTTAATTATATTTTTTTTTTCACATATCTAGTTGAGGAAACTTTTTTTTTTTCTTCTAGGGAAGGTAAGAGAAATTTTTAATTCTTCCATCTCATCCAAAACTAAAATTCAATAAGTTTATTTATGGGACAAGTAATATGTTTGTTTCATTAATTGTAAAAACATTTGCAAACTCAATTAATAATATTTATTTTGACATTACCATCATCATTTTATTAAAGTTTTGTGAATTTAATACACGAATGCTAAAATTGAAACTTTTAAAATATTTCGGGTTAAATTGGAAACAAAATATGACAGAAAACAAAGTATAATTTTTTGGATCAACAAATGGCCTATTAGCTCAGTTGGTTAGAGCGTCGTGCTAATAACGCGAAGGTCGCAGGTTCGACACCTGCATGGGCCATATTTTTTTGTTATTTTCTAACTTTTTCCAATGCAATACCTTTTTGACGAGTTCTAATTCTATACCAAATCTTATAAATACATACATATATGCATTCTTTGGATTTTTGGATACCTTTTCTATCTGCAATTATATCATGAGAAACAGTTTTCAACTCATTGAAATATAATATTGAAGCACCCCTTAATAAAATTATGTGATCCCTTTATTTTATATGACATAGAAAGATGAGTAAAGAAAAGAAAATATTTCAAATTTGAATTACAAATGGGTTTTACTTTTCAATTTCCATCATCGTAGCAGTTATGATTCCAAACTATACAATTTCCATCATCGTAGCAGTTATGATTCCAAACTATACAAGTTTTCATGAGCTACAACTCTCAGTTGGTTCATCAATATCAATAGTTTCATTTTTAGTCCAAATTAATCACCATAGCCAAATCTTGTTTGTGAAATGTCTACTTTATTAAATTTAATAACACCTGATATGTTGGTCAAATCTTTCCCTGCTGCATTACAAAGACAGACAGACCGACCTGTAATTTCTCATCTTCTAAGTATCATCTTTGTATGTTAGTTCTACTCGTCGTAATTTCGTTCATAATAGCCATCATTGACGATTAGACCACGAAATTGTTGCTTTCCCAACTTGTTTTAGATATCGTCCACCTATCTTTCAGTTATTTCTAGAGATTAACAAGCAGATTGTTAAGTTGATGAAGAGCGAAATTTTGTATGATCTTGTGGTATAGCAATACTTTTATCAGAGAATGAAGGCAGATAATTAGAATATATCTATTATTGTACGTCATATGACAAGGTCGACGAAAAAATTATGCAGAGCAACTAGGCTAATGAAGAAAATCAAAATTTGGCATAATCGAAGACCCTGAAAAACTCACCTCACATAAGCACATGAGAACTGAACTGTTACCCAGATCCATAGTTTACATCTGGTTTAGCTGCAACCGACGAAAATGGAACTTCAATTCTCTCTTTCACGATGCATCGAGCCTCCCCATTTTCCGTTACAAGGATTTTACCTGGAGGACATTCATTATATGATCCATTGCCTCCAGCTGCAGACTGTCGAAATAGGTTCAAAACCTTCAAAGCAGCAACTTTCTTCACAAACTTTGGTCTAAAACCAGACAAGTGCAGTATGGATACTATACCAACAATGGTAATCACTGATTTTGCAGCTATACTAACCAACGATCCCAATCCATTCCTCGAGTTCCCGGAATCGGTTTTTGAGCGTTTTCTTTCTGATTCATTGGGTTCCTTTGTAGCTTTATTTGTCGCAGCATCGGTTAGCCCATTACTCACAGACTTGTGTCCAGAAGGGAAGGGATGTAAGTAGCTTGCATATGGAGGAAGCATTAGATCCCGGTTGTACTGCACTGTCTCCCCAGCAAAAGCTGAAGCCTCATGTATCGCTTGCAAAGCCACCCCTTTGTACTTCTTCAGACTATCTAGTAAAATCTTGCGACTATGCTCGATCTCGGAAAGGGCAGCTTCTTTCTCGTACCTCTGTCGTTGTTGTAAATCCTGCAAATCAGAAGATAGAAGTATTAGAAGGTTTAAATGCATGCTTCCAGTACATTACAATGTTCTATGAAATAATATTTCCTCCATGCTACAAACGTTGTAGCACCGACCCTAAATCTAGTCTCGCTCCAGGTCCATTATATTGGACATACACATTTTATGGTTGTCCCACTTCAGATTCTTGTTGAAAATGGCTTCTAAAACTACAAATTAAAGGTAGAGAATATGGATGGTCAAAATTAAGAGATAAATTTACAGCTTCTGCTGCAGGTGCTTGAATTGAGCCAAAAAGAGACCACGCCAAACTTGGAAACATTTAGCCACCAGAAGGAAATCCAGACTTGCGCGAAAGAGCTTTTCCGCGAATCATGATAGGACAATCGGCACGGCAGTAAATGGAGTTATCTACCTAATTTTGTTAAATTACTCGTTTTCTTGTTTTTCTATGGAGCTAGGTGGAGAGCTTTCTTATTAGTCCCCTTTGATGCTTTCGTGTAAACCTATCCTCACTCTCCTTGTACTTTTTGGATTTTTAATATACAGAACCTTTCCAATATCTATATGTGGGCAATCTCACCAAAAGTTTAACACTCACACTAGATTTGATTGACAGTAAAGGACCAGGTTTCTGAGAATTTGATAAACTTAGAAACTAAATATACACAATTCAAAAAAAAAAAAAAAGATGGAATCGAGCACACTGTGTCGATGACAACGCAGAGAAATCGTGCCCAGGAGAAATAGTCGTAATGAGCACAAGCTCACATGGGCAAGTGCATACACACCTCAGAATAAATAACAGCTGGGTAAATAACTGATACTGACTCATTGAAAAACAGAGCTCCAAGCAATATCAATAAAGATGCCAGTGAAGTGGGGTGTTGCGTTTGAACAAACCCATAAGGTTGCATAACTTGAAGAACCAAATCCATCAGCTACAACAGGCCAGCTACTCGCATCATTAGCAAATGAATGAAATAAGCTGTTCAAATTGAGGAAGAATCATGCTGCCCATTCATTTTTTAGCAGTATAAAACACGTTGATCTTTTGTATATAAATGCAAGCTTCCAGACTACTAGCTAGCATACGTTTAGGAACAGTTTCAATCTTCCAAACTGGCATTGGGTGCG